TTCGGAAAAGCTGAAAGAAGTAAAATTTTAGATTTACTGGTTGACATCGATACAGGTTCAAGTATTTTAGTCATATCAGAACAATTTTATTCTAAGAATTTTAATAATACAAAATTAGTATCGACAACTCGTAACTTTGGATGTTAAATAAATCAAAGTCTGATACTTTTGAAAATTATGTATGTTTTGGTTTCTGATGAGGGGCATGTATTTAATCTTGAGCTGTGCGTTTCTCCAGGAAATAGTGCTCCTATCATGGGTAAGGATTAATTACGGTAATTAGGCGTCATTAAACGTGACGTAAATTTTGGAAATATATGAATTAACAAAATAAATGGAATTGTTAAAAAAAAAAAAAAAAATTTCAAAGGTTTTTACAAATAATTAAGGCTTGTCTAACGTTAAAAAATGTATAGTCAATTTAAATAAAAAAGTTAAAACTATTTTTCTGTAAACGTCAGAATTAGTTTTGGACAATGGTTGTTTGCTATGTGATCATCGGCTAATTATTCCAGAATCTTTGAAAGAACGCGTTTTTAAGTAACTGCATCAGGGCCATATGGGCATTGTGAAAATAAAAACCCTAGTCAGATAGTATGTGTAGTGGCCAAATATTGATGCTAATATCGAAAGCATAGTAAAAAAGTGTGAACATTGTTTGCTTTGACGTGACAGTCATGACCCACCTAGGGCAGCATTCCACGCATGGAACTTGCTCGAGGCTCCAAATATTAGTGTTTATGCAGACTTTTGGAGTCTCATTGAGGGCAAAATGTACTTAAATACTACTAATGCGCACTATAAATAAGTTGATGTAAAAATTGTGAAAAACATAAATGCGACTTCGACTAATGATACATTTATGGACTATTTCGTGACTTAAGGCGTACCGGTACATGCAGCAACAGACGATGATCCTGATTATGTCTGCAGAATTTCTCAACTTTTTAAAAAAGAGTAATGTTAACTATCTTTTGACGACCCGATATCATCCTGCAAGCAATGGAGCACACATTTTCGAGAAAAAGAATGATTGAATTTGGTCAAAACAATTTAATAATGGCTAAAGATTTTAAAAACAATTTTTGGAAGATAGAAAAAAATTTTAATAAGACAGGTCCTCTTACATAATACGATGTTGTTACATAAGATAATTTAGTTTTGAAGATTTACTGTAGTAAGAGAAGAGTTAACCTACGATGGATGTAGTGTAAATTGACAATAGCTTGTTAAAAGAGAAAATAAAAGCCTGACTTGCCCGGAAAACTCGAGTTAGGTTCCAGACGATTTATCTTATCAGTAGTATGCTCGAGTTCAGTCCCGGTCATTAAATCTAGTGCTCGAGTTGAATCCCATACACATAGATAATAAACTTCCCCTTTAATTTAACAAATTGAGAAAGAAACAAGAAAGCTAACGGTATGTAAATATTATTGTTGTGACCATGTACGACGAATACTTGAGTGGAAAACTTCGGGCAGCTGTAGAATGGTCCGTCAATAAAAATCTCGTCCAATGAGGACAACATTTTCAAGTTACTTACAGTTGAAAATAATATTATATTCGATTTCAAATCATTGAATAGAAGTAGGTTTTCATTTTTATTGCTAATCGGTTGCAATTTGTCTATTGCTTCGTGGCGTTTATGGATAGTTTTCGGTAAATTCGAGAATTTTCTACGTCTGGCTGCACCGACATTTTGTCGAATCCGATCTGCGTCCTACATATTTAACGTTGGGATATTGGTATAAACGGTATAATTAGCGTTTTACCCTTTTCACTGGTAAAAAATTTCATTGCTGACTGCGATTATGCCAAAAAAAAAAACGCGTCATCAGGAGGCTGTCACGTTATAAATTAAAAATTATGAAATACCTTGAACGATAGACGATAAGAATGTACCTGGCGAAACGACGACGACGATAACACAGTACGCAGCTTAGAATGAAAATGAGCAATAAAATCAACAACAACCACGTAGCTACAACGAAGGCCACTGATACATCGAAATTACTACATATGTATGGGACTCAACTAGAGTATTAAACTTATTGACCAGGACTGAATTTGAGTATGATATTTAAAGACCGGGACTGAATTCGATACTTTTATACGTCATGGGACTGAACTTGATATCAGCCGACTGGCCATCTATTACAAATATCGTCAATAATGAGATTAATGATTCTGACAAGAGTATACTTTTCCAATAAACATTTGAACCAACGCACTTAACAGCTATTATTTTTTTTTTTTAATAACCTTTCGTAAATTTGCACTATCTTTATCGTAAAGTAACTCCTCTGAATAAACCAACTTGTTAGAAACATTTAAAAACTTGAGACGAAGAACTCCGTGCTCTTGATTATACCTGCCTTGACACAACTCACATAATGACTGTGGCTTTTTTGTTTGGGTACTCTTAAATAAAGCAGACTGTTTAAAATGAACTCCAAAAAGAGTCTCCTATTCAAGTCTTTTAACAGCGTATGATTCGAAAAATACGCGGTACTTCGAAAAGAATATTTCATAAGAAATTAGGAAAGGATCGTTACCTTACAAAATTCAAGTAAAAGAAATAAAAGAAAAATCACATCTCTTGAAGTGATATTACTTCACAGTTTTAATTCGACTACTGACATCGTGTGTTACACTTAGCTTTTTTATTTGTGTTAATGTCTTCTGTCAGTAAAATTTCCCTACATAATGTAAAAAAGTCCCTTAAGAAGGTTTTATCCCTCGCTATAGTCCATGCAACGATTTTTTTTTAAATTTAATCTTTTTTGTGTTTAACGATTCTACTTTTATCTTTTAATAATTAACTTCTTGAATCATTAGACTAAAGACCATAGAGCATGAGTCGCAGCAACGTCCAATAGAAAGCCTTTGGATGATAAAAAGATAACACTCTACAGAGTGAGAATGAGTACAAATAAACAGTATATTAGTACATGTATACAGCTATACGCGTGACGTATATTATTTCGTACATTGCCACCCAGCCTATTTCCAACAAAAAGTGCGAGTTTAGACATAGAGAATAACTGATACTAATGTATATGCGCGTTCAAGTAGCATACTAGCTCCTCCTTGCACTCTAGTTATTTTCTATAATCTTTAACGTACGGAGAGCGTCTTCTTGTGTCTACGAGGTAATGGGTGCTACCTACATATATTTCTACTATTGCCCCCACTAAACCATGATTTCTTGACAGAAAAACTCTCGCGAACCGTGGACTCTCGAATACACCAAAGACTACTCGGCCGTCTTAATGTACTAGTGACGTTATTCATTTAATCTCGGTACATGAGGAACTATACTACTAGTAGTGGGTCAATCAAACGAATGCCATTCTCTATGTTTCTGTTTACTTTCACCTAATAAGTCATGTAACTTTCACATCAACATACGATTATCATTAAAAAAACGCCAAAATTACTGTAGTAATTAATACAAACTGATTTAAGTTTCCAGCTTACGACACATGGATTTTATCGTGTAAATCCTCCCAACACACTGTATTAATCTTACAGACGCATAATAAGTGAGCGTGTAAAGAGCAAGTATTAGTCATGTTCATCTACAGCTAAGATTACTAGCGCGCCCCACTCACGAGTTCAGCTAGTGGTCGAGAATGAAAAGAGTTCAATACCTTTTTTTTAATTCCTTCCCTTTTTTCCTAATTTTCTAATACATGTACACGATAAGGTGTTACATACATGCGTGCATAATATTTTATGTGTGAAAGTGTAGTTATTCTATATCCTTTAAGATAAACTTCTAATATATTGACATTTTAAGAACATAAAAAGAAGGGGTAACAAGAGTAGTACACAATACAGTATAAATTAGTAGAAAAATTTTAAAACGATAATAAGGTGAAACTTATATAGTTATGTCCTATACTGCTTAGATTAATCTATAAACAAATTTCTACAGAAACATTGAGCATTGACATCTACTTTTTTTGTTAATTTACGTTATGAAAATTTCCAGGTTTTTAATACCAAGTACGTATAACTGGAAGGTATAACGAGATTATTAAATTTTGCCTTACTTTAAATATCATCATACAATACTCAAACGTTAACCCAATTGACTTCTTGAAAATTGATCTATTTTTATGAGGTGAATGGTATTTTTATAAAAAATTATACGATGATCTGAAATTTTAATATAGCGATGTGAAATGGAGGTGTGGTATAGCTGCGAATAATAGTGTGTCTCTAACATGTCTCACTTTATCATTTTTTATTTAGACATCGCATAGAAAAATTTAGTTTTATAAGGCAAATAGTGTTTTTGATGCGAGTTGAAATGTTTGCACAATGAAATTTTGGCATAGGAAAGCAAAAATACCAGCTAAACTTTGCTTTGTAATATAATCGGGTTTAAATAAGTTATAAAACAAATAAAAACTTTTGCCTTGCAAGTGTGAAAATCAACGCTTCATTTTTAGTTCTGTATGCTGGAACGAGTTTTGACAAAACTGTAACGTTTACTTTATATTCGGAAGCGAAAAAAAATTCGCAAAACGTTATTTGAACAGAATAATCTTTGCCATGCGTCTATCCAGTATTGATTATGTGTATCCATTATGAAAAATCAAAGCCACCAAGCGTGAATTTTCAATGCACTCACTCCAATTTATATACATTCTAACATTTTAATTTGAGTAAGTTTTCTTGGTTTTGTTGATAAGTTTCACATGTTAACGTATTTATTTCATAGATTACGTGAGCTTTAATTCTAAAAAGTACGAAAGGATTTTAGGTCTAGTAAAAAGTTACGATGACGCTTGATACTTAAGATTTAGAGAAATGAAAAAATTAAGTAGTCGAATGCAAAAGGGTGAATTGGAGATATTAAGTAAGTCTTATCAATCCCAAACTTTAGTCGTAGCAGAAATAGCACATAGGATCATATTATTTGTATCATTAATAAAACTCATGTTTACAAAAAATGTTTCTACAAAAATTAATAAAAAAAAAATTATTACCTTTAATATTTTTGATTGTTCTTCAATGTCACCTATTAATAAACATCCTTGGTAACATCCTGAAAAATCTTTTCGAATTTCTGCTATTTTTGTCATTTTTTTTAACTTTTCCAAGTTACCAGTAATAAGATAGAGAAAAGCTAATTTCTCAAAATTTTTTGTTCTTTGGTAGCACATTTCAACAACTTGATGATTTCCTTCCAACAAAGCAGCATTCGCTAAGCTTTCCCAACAAAATTTTTGGTCTAATATTCGAGCTGCTTCTAATGCTATTTCAATATTACTACATTCTAAAGCTAAGCTAAATCTAGTTTTTTCATCTTTGACAAAATGTAGTGCTACTTCTGGATAACCTTTCTGTTGTAAATATGATATAATTGATTGACCAACAAGATTAGATGAGCGAACCATCCGTAAAACCTCCTCATATTTTCGATCAATTAAAGATAATTTAAATTTAAATTCTGTCGTATCGATTCTAAAAATTCTTGGTTTGCACTCGCGATCCAGACAATATACTTGATCACTTTTTATTTTAGTAATATAAATAGGAAGATCTAAGGTACGTATAATTCCGTAGTCACCATTACTAATTGCATATTTTATATGGTTACTTGTAGTATAAATAAATACATTTGAATCATCCCATGCCCCTGATTTGATTCTTGTGTTTTCCTGCACTGTACATAAATGCTCTAATCTTCGATTGCATATTACAACGGAATGTTTGGATAAAAGTGCAACATAAATCATATCATTTGACCAAATAACGTACCGACATTTTGGAATTTTGACTTCAGCTAAAGTTTTTTTCTGTTGAATGTCGAACAGCACTATTTGGTCTGAATCACGCAGTAAAATCATTCCAGTACCAGCATAAAATATTTCGTCGTAATTTGGAATAGGAATTTTTTTTGAAATCTCGTTCTTAAGATTTTTTATAACAAGCTGAAAAAAGATAAGACATGTATTAGTATACGAAATTTTTGATAAACATAAATCTAAAGACAGCAAATTGTTACAAAAACGAGATGTAAATGCATATGTTTTACTAATAAAAACTGCAACCCTCTATAAAAAAAAGTTCCTAAAAAAAAATTATTCTTGTAGTCAAACAACAAGTAGTCCAAAAATTTTAGGCATGGTTAATTGTCAGATTTTTCGTTATGGTAAAGAGAGAAAAATATCATCTCTGTACTTTAAGAAAAATACGCAACCAGTATACAAGTGCAGCGTATCTTGATTTGAATCGATAAAAGTCTTGTAAGAAGTTTTTTTAAATTTGAATTTCGTAAATCAACAATAAAAGTACGCGATTTTTATTTAAAATATAGGGTAGAAAACATACTAGACACAATTTAATAATATTGTGCCAGACCGTCATGGTGGTACCAACTGTTACCCCTTTGTATTTTTACAGATAATCTTTGAAATAGCTGGTTGACCCAAGCCTTTTAATGTAAACTTGTTTAGAATTGCAAAAGCTTTGATTACATTTAATGTTTGTCGAGAAAACAGTTATTTTTTAAACAGCTAACAAAAAAAATATGTACCAAAATATACAGCTAAGAGAATACTCTTGTCTTATTCACCGTGATTCACTGATCTTATTTTAAACTAGAATCGTTCACACATTTTCTGGCAAATAGCACAATTGTCTAATAAAATACGCTATAAGGACTTTTTTTCATGAATACACAAAAATCATGTCAGCTCGAGTTTTAGATTTTACAGAAATACGACAAACATTAACGATTATTGCTTACCTATCATGTCAAAAGGAAAATCTTTTTTTTTTAACAAAACGAATTATTATAATTTATCATTCAAAGCTACGAGCTCGTCAAGCATCCACGCTCGATTTATACTCGCACACGTACACCTGCGAGTAATAGTGGGATCAAATTAAGTTTTTGGCAATGAAAATTTAGATAAGCTCAAAAAAAATTTGTTGTAGAAAATTAAGCAATATCAATTGATTGTAACAAAATCGAACAAAAAATATTTTTTATTAAGGCTTCAAAATAAATGGCAAAAATAGTGAAATGGCGAACGAATAACTAACTTCCACACCGCAAAAAAATTCGATACTGTGGTAAGTTGTACAGTAAGTATTAAAGAATATTATTCCACAGAAAAATTGCATCGAACGTTATAAACAACTATTCTTAGGCCGTTTTACCAAAGAACCTTTTCTTCCACTTAGCTGCGGTTTGCAAAAACTATCTATTCGATCTTATTGAAATTTTGTGTGGTTATTAAAGATTACTAAAGCTATAACTCTGTCAAATTTTAGCCTTTAATGTTTACGCAAAAGAGAGTTATTAATTTTTTAATATTTGCTCAAAATATGAGGTTCTCTGCATTTTGCGCGGAAACCACTGGACGAATCGGGATCAATCAGTGCTTATATATATATCAACGTGTTCATTATCTTTTCTCTTTATGTGGTCAAGTCTAATTTTTCTGTATCCTATCAATTGTTGCGGACATCAGTGGTTATGTAGAATTTTTTAATAATCTTTTAGCTTTTATATTGTAATTTTTTTGATAAAGAATTAAATGGTTTCATAATAAACAGTGTTATGAGGGTGCACACGATGAAAACAAACGAGGCGGAAGCTTTGACTTCGACCAAGCTTGTGTTGCTAGATATCCTCAGCAACACTCTCTGTTATATTATTTACGCTGTTCTCGTCTGTCAAGACATCGCTGGGACTAGAGATCGCTGGCCACTATCTCGTTGCCACCTGTTGTGACAGTTGGAACTCAACACAGGTGGGAGTAGGACACATTTAAATCAGCCCTCACGAGTAATATTTGAGTGATCGAATCAGCTTAAATGTCAATATTTTTTGTGAAATTCAGACTAGCTCAAAAAAAATATTTTAAAGAGATTTAAACAATGCCAATTGATCGTAATAAAATCGAACAAAAAATATTTTCCGCTAAGGCTTCAAAAAAAACAAAACAAAAAAAAATAGCAAAAATGGTAAAGCACAGTTTTGAGTGTTAAAAACCAACAATAATCTATATATATATAATATATTTCTATAACTATACATATAACAAAAACTATTGACATTTCAGCTGATTCGATCACACTCTAAACATTGTATTTGTCTTTTATTTCTCGAATGTATGTCTATCGTCTCAAATATTACTCGCGAGTGCTGATTTAAATGTGTCTTACTCCCACCTGTGTCAAATTCCAACTGTCACATGAGGCGGCAACGAGATAGCGGCCAGCGATCTCTAGTCCCAGCGGTGTCTCGACAGACGAGACCAGCGTAAATAATATAACAGAGAGTGTTGCTGAGTATATCTAACAACACAAGCTTGGTCGAAGTCAAAGCTTCCGCCTCGTTTATTCTCATCTTGTGCACCCCCATAACATTGTTTATTATGAAATCATTTGATTCTTTATCAAAAAAAGTGCAATGTAAAAGCTAAAAGATTATTTAAAAATTCTACATGACCACTGATGTACGCAACAATTAATAGGATACAGAAAAATTAGACTTGACCACATAAAGAGAAAAGATTATAAACACGTTGATATTATTTCAACATGTTGGAACAAAGTGAGAATTGTATTAAGTTGGTTTTCAAACGTGTAGTTTCTCTTACGTTTTTGCTGTAGTAATTTAAGTCTCCAATAATACTCATAGATAAACAGAGTAAGCCTAGTGAGGTAAAAATGAAGACAAAGTATTGCTCAAGATAACATCTAACATCTTAAAGTTTCCATTCCCACTCCTTGATGAGCTTTTAACCGAACGTGTATCCATGCACTGATTTTAAAAATTTACATTAATGAAATTCCCTCGTTTCTTTCTTGATTCAATTAAATCAATAAAGAAATTTTTCAACTCACTTAACAAGAAATTTAACCTAGCTACTATAAATAAATAATACATCTTGGACATTAAATAGAGATAAAATGAATAAAACACATCACATGAAAAGAGCGTATAGCAATTCTTGTAATAATAGATCATCTACCTATATGGGTAAAACAAAAAAACTATTTTAATACTAAATATAAGAATCTTTAACTCACGGTACAGTTTCGTAGTTTGAGTCGCAGTTTTAAAAATACCTAGTCTCTTACCTATGTTTATAAACGTTTCGTATATGCATCGCAAAATAAGAATCTTTATTATCAATCAAATATTGACTGTTAATGGTGACTTACATTGAAATACAGTTGACAAATGTTCTTTATAACGTGAATAACATGTATTAATGAATTTGTTATGAAAACTTTTTAAATAAATTTTAAATGTATAAGTACAAATTGCGGGCTAGACGATGATTGTTTACTAGTACGCTATCAGTTTTGTATGTGTTTTCTACTAAACTGAAGCCATTTAGAAACTCGTGTACGTAAAATACGCCACGCCCAAAAAGCATCTAAGCACTTCCTATTTAAATTGTCAAACATAAACAAAAGAAAAAAAAGGGGGAAAAAAACTAATATCTCAATGTAGTTTTACAACAGCAGAGGTCATTCATCTTAGCAGCAGCAGCTATTGCTGCATTATTTGGAAGACTGGCCAAGGTAAAATTTTATTCGACAGCTTACGAGTGAGTTTATGTCAGCAAGTTAGTTTTTCAGTAACTTTTATGAAAGTAGAATGGCAGTTCACATTAGTGACCCAATATCGCCATACTTTGTATTTCTAGTGCATCATAAAAGAGACGCTAATTACTTTCAAGGAGATGTCCACACTTGTTACTTAAATTTAATGACGCCTAAATTCTAGACTCACAAGAAATAGTAGTTTCAAATATAACGATAACAAGGATCTGGTTAGTTTGATAATGATTGATGGTGAACTTTCCACCATCACAGTTAATGCTGTTGTTTCACCTTTAAATTTTTTTTATTTATTTTACATGACATTTCAAAACCTCTTATTCCAGGTAAAATTTATTACTGCTAATAAAAAAATATTCGTGATACAGATAAAAGCAATTGTATTAAGGATACTTCTATGAAAAATGAAATCGTGTAGGTTTTAATGCTATTTTAAGTGAAAAACATATTTTATAAAGTATCTCTTCGCTTTTAAATGATTCATAAGTTGCAATGTGCAAACACTTCCAGGGACTAATTGACTTAATCAGCACAACAATCTATCAACTCTAATAAAAATTTAAAAAAACTAATATTATTACCCGTTATGTTGATAAACTTATACAATAACCGATTACAATACAGAGCAAAGTTAGTGAAACCGCTTATAAGTCAATTTACTACACCACGCTGATAAATGACTTTATCTTTCGAGCTATGCAGAAACTGTTATCGATTTCAGGGAGGAAAAGGTAAAGACAAAAATTACGACTTAGAACAAAGAAAAGGATATAGTAAGTGACTTTTCAATATCTAACATCGTCATGTCGATAATTAGAAATAATAATTCTTGGATAGCAGAAAAAAGTCATTTTGTTGGTGTAACAAATATATAATTTATAAATTATGAACAACTTACTAATATTAAAGCATTTTTAGATGGATTTTAATAAGGTGGTTACCTCAGTGATAATGTCTAAAGTACTTTACGATAACTCCAATTAAAAATATATTTTTTAATATACACACAATCTTTGAAACAATTGTTAATGTAAATCTTGATACAAAATAATAACCACCATGTTACTTTTTCAAGAGAAAAGGTGTATGGAAATCTTAAAAGTGCTCTAAATTGGTTAAAAATAAGAGCACGGCCCCTTATAGTGAACCTGAGTTTAAACTATGTGTTTGAACAAAAAAAAAGTAGCAGAAGTAAGTAAGTAAAAGGAACAGGGACATAGAGCTTGAAACCGCCCTCTTTTCCCTAATGGGATGTAGTAAAATACAACGTAAAAAATATGACACGAAACACTTTACCAGTTAAGATGGCACTCTTTGCAACAATGGTGCATCGGGTCTACTCGGC